ATCTGATTAGCTTAGCCTCATGGTTGCTAACAGCTAAATAAACAAGCCCCGCCCCTCTTGATGTTTACTTAGATTCTTGGACGTGGAAAAAGCACAACATTTTTCAGCCATTATATCGATTAACAGTTGTTGCACATCCCTCCCAATATCGGTATTGGTGATAGCCAAAACTCCCATATCAGCCGGGCTCTAGAAACAACGTCAAGCTGAAATCAGCAGGACTGCAGCTGAAATCATCACTGTCCCCAAGTCCCTAGGTGTGAGCGAGAGTGAATGGTTGTTTGTCTCGTTTGTCTCTATGTGTCCCTGTTATGGACTGGAGACCTGTCCAGGGTGTCCCCTGCTTCTCACACAGTAGCTATGTTTACATGCGCAGAATTCTTTGACCAGATTGAAATGTGTTCTGTTTGAATAATTCAAATGTGTTGTTTACATGGGCACAATCTGTTCATGACGAGCGTTTACATGCAGCGGGCTTTGTTCTGAACAGCAGTACTGACATGCGCAGAGTGCTAAACTCTACTTAAAAAAAACCACAGAAGAAGAAGTTCTACTTCCGGGGTGAACGTAAACAAACCTGAGCACCCAAAATGGACCTGCAACAGGTTTTAATGACGGTGGAGACGTTACTGCACTCCCTGACTGAGCTACAGGTGATACAGATCATTTTGAGCTCTTTAAAAGTTTCTAGTAGAAATGTTGTGTCGCTCACCGACCAGTTTTGCTCTCCTGACATGCTAATATTAGCATTAGCCAGGCGGAAATGGCAAAGTCGCACATGCGCAGTCAGGTCAGTTTTTCACGATCAGATAAAAACGAACAGATCAAGCGTTTACATGCGCACCGATCGGGTTTCGGATCGGCGTAAACCACCCGTTTCGTTCTGATCACAAATTATATCGGATCGCGCCGAATACACAAAAATAACTCGAACGGAGTGTTTACATGACACACTTTTATTCCGACCGGCCATTTGATCCGGTTACTTATGTCCATGTAAACATACCCAGTGACTGCTGGACATGGACACCAGTGACCCCTGCGACCCAAAAAGGAAGAAGCAGGTTAATGGACAGACGGACAGTGTTCCATAGGAGAAAAAAACAAGGGAGTCCCCAGGAGGCGTCCTCTCCAAGGACTCCAAAAAGGGTGGGTAATCTGAGCTGCTGTTTGGCTCATAAGCACAAACAACAGTCAGAACCCGTTCCCCCACATGTAGGCGGAGGGAGACTACCCTCTCGTTCACCGGGGTGAACCCCAACCTACAGGCACCAAGATGGGAGCAACAAGTATGCCCACTCCTGCTCGGTGCCTCGCACCAGGGGCAACTCCAGAGTGGAAGAGTGTCCAGCCCCTCTCAAGGAAACTGGTTCCAGAGCCAGAGCCATGCATTGAGGTGAGTCCGACTATTTCTAGCCAGAACCTCTTAACCTCACACACCAGCTCAGGCTCCTTCCCCACCAGTGAGGTGACATTCCACGTCCCAGTAGCCAGCTTCTGTAGCCGAGGATCAGACCGCCAGGGTCCCCGCCCTCGGCCACCACCCATCCCACATTGCACCAGACCCCTTTGGCCCCTCCCACAGGTGGTGAGCCCATGGGAAGCAGCCTGAAATACAAATATCAAAATTAAATTACCTTTTTAAATATATTTTAACTATTTAACCTCCTAAGACCCGAACTCTTGCATATGTGGATGCCAGGTCCTAGGAGGTTTAAAGGTCTTTTGTTAAAAAATAATAACTCCACATTTCAGTTTTAAAAAATCAACAAAGTATTTATGTTATGCCGACTTTTGAAAATAAATAAATAGATGAATGAATGAATGAATGTCCTGATTCATGCTCAGTAATCCAGGTAGAAAATCCAACAAATTTAAGTCAGGTCTAGCCTGGGCAGGTTAGTCTCAGACTGATGAAGTCCTATGGATAAAAGACAAAACGTTTAAGTACAAAGAAACCGTCCAGAGGACCTGACTGAACTTTGTTGGGAATGAAAGATGGTTTTGCTCTTTACATCCACACTAAAACAATTGTATTTGACGAGACGAGAGGCAGAACTCCACAGCAAGTCCAGCCAGCAAGAAGGCATCTCAGGGGGGAATGAAATATTCTCCTGGAAAATTTTACAGCATGTCTCAAATACAAAAGTGGAGCACCACTTACAGATCGAATGCAAAAATCAAAAGTATATGGATGAAGGTAAAAAGAAAAACGTTACTGAAGAGAATGCATTATTGTACCAACTAATAAAGTAAGTGTAAGTATTTCTGTGTTGGTATCATTGTATGTTCACAATGATGAAGTTAGTTCTCTGCGTTTAACCCATCACGCCTGAGATACACCCAGGTGGAGCGGTGGGCAGATATGTACGCATCCTGGTAGCAGTTAGGGATTTGGGTGTCTTGCTCAGGGGCACCACAAGTAGGGATGCATGATATTATCAGCATGGTATCAATATCAGCCAATACTGGCGTTAAAGTTCAATATCAGACATCAGCCATTCCATCAAAAATAACTCACGGATTTAAAAGACACTGTTTTTCTATGACAACCCAGTGACAAGGATGCCTGCAGCGCCAGCACAACATGACGTCACGAGCGCCTACCTGATCTGATCACGGCGGAGAGGAAGAAGTCAAAATGTCAGCGTGTGGAAAGTTTTATTTTTCGTTGGTGAGGATGTCAGATGGCAAAGATGTTTGGACTACGTTGAGCCTCGCTACATCGTCCCCGGTCAGAGATATTTTTCCAACGTGATCTTACCCGACGTCATTGAGAAGCTAATAGCCGATAGCACGTGGGTGAGTTTTACCACAGATATTTGGACGTCGTGTTAGCCCCGTTAGCATGATTAGTCTTACGGCACAATGGATAGACAAAAACTTTGAACTTAAAAAGTCTGTCCTTCATGCACAGGAGTGCAGAGGATCCCACACTGCAGCTATAGGAACCTGGAACAAACCTCCACAAGTGAGACAGCATCGCAGGTGACTAATGCTAATAAATAACATTTAACACTTTTCATTTAATAAAAGTTAAGGTGCTATGCATATCATATGGCTGTTACTGGATATATGTCACCAGCTCTTACAGCTGGTGCACAGTTTTTGTAACAAATAAGCCTAAATAGGAGGAATATGTTCTGACAAAGGAAAGTATATAAAAATATCGTATCGGTTATCGGCCAAGTAAGTTTTAAAATATCAGCATATCGGATATCGGCTAAAAATCCAATATCATGCGTCCCTAACCACGACATGTGGGCATGGTGGGGAGTCGAGCCGCGGCTTTCTGGTCCCAAGTCGGCTGCCCTGCCTCTAGTCCATCTCAGACCCTAATACATACAGGATTGATAAATTAATTTGTAACTGGATTTTCTTTATGGCCAAATTTCACCCTAAGGAACTCAAGCGTGTAGCCAAGTTACTGTGAGGTTAAAGGAGCATTTCAAACAATTCTGGCAAAATAATAAACAAATTAAAAAGACAATGATTTTTAGACTTTGTCAAAAAATACTGGTAATTGTCAGCACCAAAATAAATTCAGAAATAAAAACAGACGCGAAGAAATGGGCAGCTGATTTTCCCGCAAAAGGTCATCCAAGGGTTACACAAAAATGACTAAAACATAGTTGATGAAACGTTCCTGATGGTGATGAGGAGAAAACAGAAAGACGCCTATTTTTGGTGTGGATCAAGATAACTTGTTAACAAACTTTGGACTTGGGTGAGTGCTCAGAGCCTCTCTAGTTTATTCTTATTTCCTTAAATGTAGAGGAGGGATGAGGAAATGTCTCGTGGTTAAAGAGTAACCCCAGTAAACTTGGTCAAATGATTTAAGTACAATGTGCGACCAACCTACAGATACCTGCAGGAGCATTATCAAATAAATGCATTTCTCTATTTGAATCTATAAAGTCAAGCTCCTATTGATGGTTGCTGCAAACTGTTTGAAAACAGCTATAAAAAATAAAAGATGCCCCAAAAATGTCTGGTCAGTGGGTGGCATCTGAAAATAGAGTAAGAAAGATTTTATTTTAATCACTAAAGCAAACAGTGAGAGTCTGTGGTTTAACTTGAGCCCACACACCTGAAGGCTCGAGGACTTGATGGCTGCACATAAATCCACTCATTTCAAACCTGACCGAGTCAATCATTACTCCACACAAACTCATTCAGCCTTGAGCAAACCAATGTATAAGAATAAACCATGAACAAACCGTTGTCGTTTAACAGCTACAATGTTGAAAAGCTGCAAACGATATAACATATTTTTAATGCATAAAATACATATTAATTATACTTAAATAATGGTTTGAAAAGCAGAAAGCAGCCAGGTTATTACAGGTGAATCCAGTGGTGTAGTCTACGTGATACGCAGGTATACGGAGTATACCCACTAGAAAAGCGTGTGAATTTCAGTATACCCACTTAAGAGTGCCCAATAATACAGCCCATGTCATTTATGACTGGCATTGATACATGTCATGGGCTCGTGTCATTGTCACCGCATTTGGAACATTCCATGAACACATTGAGTTGCTTCAATGGGTTTTTTGCATAATTAATACTTATGTACTTACTACTTGATACACGTTTTGCTTTGTTACTGTTTCATAAATTCTATAACATGTTTTAATACAAAGCCAACTGCTGTAAGTTTGTTGTGCATTTTAAAATGTTCAATACACTAAAAAATCAAAATAAATTGACGATCACAGTGTACTAACTCATGTACTTTAGTTTCTAAGCACAGTACACCCACTACAAAAATGTACACTACATCACTGGGTGAATCAGCAAGGCGCTATAATTTGACCAATTTATAATAATAATAATAATAATAATAATAATAATAAATAATCCCAAATGATGTTGATTATTCCAAAAAGTGAATGATGTTTCCAAGGGGGGACGGGGTTTTTGCTCACACAGCTCTGGTTTGTAGACGGTCCATCCCTGAACCACCGGACTCAGCTGAAGCACACGGCGTCGCTTACCTCTCTGCGGTCCTGCAGACACTCCAGGACGGCCAGGTTGTTGGTCCAGGTGTGCTTGGGGCAGAGGCGGGTCAGGTCGTCCCGGCAGGCCTCCTCCTCCGCTAGCTTCCAACCCGTCGCCCTTCGAGGTTGAGAGGCCCCGGCGGCGACAGGTGCATCCTTGCCCGGCGGGTCCACGGCTCTAGGCTCGATCAAGCCTCTCGGAACCTTCAAGCTCAGGACGGACACGAAGCTACAGAGACACGCACACGTCAGAAGCATCAACCGCAGAGGAGAGCCACCATACGCCGCCATCTTCACATAACCGTTAAGTTAGTGCTGAACACTGAACCCTTCATTTCCGGTCAGCACGATGAGAATGCACGACTTCCGGTTAGTGAATTCAAAGTAAAAGCTTTGTCGTGAAACCGCTTTCAGATGAAGTTGATGTAAACTTTTATTTGTTCATTAAAAAAGGAAACAGTTGTATATAAAGCAATAGCTAGAACAAAATGAGAAAATGAATAATTTGTAAAAATAAACAAATCATTATTAGGAAGGGTTGTATTATTATTATTATTATTGTTATATTATTATTATTATTATTATTATGGCAGCACGATGGCGCAACTGGTAGAGTTGCTGCCTCTCAGTGAGCAGGTCCTTGGTTCAAATCCCGGTCCAGGGGTCTTTCTGGGTGGAGTTTGCATGTTCTCTCCGTGCATTCATGAGTTTTCTCCAGGTACTCTGGTTTCCTCCCACAGACCAAAAACATGCATGTTAGACTGATTGGTAACTCTAAATTGTCCCTAGGTGTGAGTGAGAGAGTGAATGGTTGTTTGTCTCGTTTGTCTCTATGTGTCCCTGTGATGGACTTGCAATGCATCCAGGGTGTCCCCCACCCCACGCACAGTGATAGCTGGACATGGGCACCGGCGACCCCCATGACCCAAAATGGAAGAAGCAGGTAAAAGATAATGGATGGATGGATTATTATTAATACTAATTTTGGTAGTGGTGAGGCAGAGGTTAGAGAAGGTGGGCCTGTGATCGGAAGATCACTGGTTCAACTCCCGGTACAGACAACATCAACATGTGGGTGAGATAGGTGAAACACCTGCATCCACCCTCTCTGGGCCCTTGAGCAAGGCCCTTAATCCCCACCATCTGCTCCCTTGGGCACCAGCTGACAGCTCTCTGCTCCACACAGAGGGCTGTGGTAGCTCAGTGGTCTGTGGTGTCAGGAAGGGCATCCAGCATAAAAACAAATGCCAAGTCTTTGTGCGAGTCAGTTCGCTGTGGCGACCCCTGAAGAAGGGAGCAGCAAAGAAGAAAAATATAGAGGAAAATTGTCTGTGTTTTAGATCAAACGGTCTATAATTTGTTTTATGAACAGAAGACATCGGCCCAGAATTTTGAGCAAGGCCTCAACCATCCATGCATTATTTTTCTGTCACTTATCTCTCGTCAGGTTGTTGAAGCAACAGGTCCAAGTCCAGGTGGGAAACCCAGACTTCCTTCTCCTCATGTACCATCTGGGGGTTTTGTTGTTCTCCTAAGGGATTTCAACGTCCATGTGGGCTATTAGCATCATTAATATTATCATATCCCTGTGTGGTGAGCTGGATCTGCTGGTGGACATGTGCATGCCAAACAGACCTGGTAAACCCAAACAAATGGTGAAAGCGACATGGGAATGTCTGGCAGAGGTCCCTTGTCTATACTGTCTGTAACTCTTACCTCTTGGTGAGGATATGTGTTCTGCATATCACCATTTTTTCAAGTGTTTGTTCAGTGACTCCATCAAGCCAGTCTATTCCACCATGATGGTCAGCCATTATGTTGTGTTTTGTGTATAGTTCTGTCCATTTAACAGATACTTGAACATGTACATTTTATTCTGAGGCAAAGACAGGGCAACACCATGGCTCCTGACTGGATGTGGAATTTTAACGTTCAAGCCTGGACTTTGAGTTTCTGACACAGTATGCCTTACATGAAACCTCCACGAGGCTCACAGTTCAACCTGGTCCAGCCATCCGAGCAGCACTGTGAGACCTCACACCTGTGTAATGTGACTCAAACGCCTGATTCTGGATTCAGCTGAGAGCTCTGTTTACTTTGATTGTGTACTCACATTTCAGTATTGCATTCACTTGAAATGGAAAACTACTAAAATAAACTCTTTCAAAGTTCACCATTTATTTAAGAAAATCGTTTTCATGCTTAGTTTCACAGTTTGCAAAGAGTACCTCATTTCATAAATGTTAAATGTTCATAAATATCTCTAATTATCTGTACCTCATTTATAATGAGCTGAAATAAACCGAGTCGTTCTTCCTCATTAGCATCAGGTAACCTGTCATTGACCTGATGGCTCAATTCAATTCAATTCAGTTTATTTATAAAGCGCCAAATCACAACAAAGTTGTCTCAGGGCACTTTAAGAAACATTCACAAACATAAAAGCCAATTAGTAAAGTTCTCTATCTAAGGAATCCAGCAGACAAGTTGAATCTTGGCTTCGATGCAGTCTCTCATCCTGAACAAGCACAGTGGCAACAGAGGAAAGGAAAAACTCCCTTTTTTAAAAGGAAGAAACCTCCAGCAGAACCAGGCTCAGGACAAGCGGCCATCTGCTTTGACCGGCTGGTTGAGAGGACAGGAAGGAGAGACAGACGAACACAGAATGGTAGGTCCAGGTGTATCTGAAAGACAAAAAAACATGTTAAGATAGAAAAAATAATTACAAATACAAACCAGGTTGAGCAGAGTAAGTAAAGACAGTAGCAGAGAGAAAAGTGTGGTCAGTTTGTCCTCCAGCAGTCTAAGCCTATAGCAGCATAACTAAGGGACAGCTCAGGAAACCCAAGCCGACCCTAACTATAGGATTTAGCAAAAAGGAAAGTCTTCAGCCTAGTTTTAAAACTGGATAATGTGTCAGCCTCACGGACAGAGATTGGAAGTTGGTTCCACAAGAGAGGAGATGGTCTTTTGAAGAAAGCAGCGGTGGTTAGCAGGGTTACCTAAACCTGGTTTAATTTAGCTTCCCCCTTTCAGATTGGCTTAGTGTTTAGAAAACTGATTAATCCAGGATAATAAGACAAAGTCCAGCTTTCTTCTTTTATCCTGGATAAGGGAAAATGTATCTAGTAATGTATTCTGGACCCAGGAAACGTGTAATAAAAAGACAAGTAACCCTAACCCCCAAAACAAAAAAAACGTAAAAACCCCTCTGATTGTTTCAGATAGCCACTGTCAAGGGAACGTGTAAGTTTTGCACTCATGCTCCGTATTTTTACTTGATTAATGCATTTATGCTCTTTTACTGTTCTTGTGAGTGATATCAAAATGTTCCATGATCCTTACTCTATAATAATCAGTCTTCATGTGAGCGGTCAGTAAAGGGACATCAAGAGATCATTTTTATTAACCTCAGGGTTTGATTGATGATTACAGTGACGTGGGTGAGAGATTCCGTGGAAGCGGTTTGTCGTTCCACACCTCATCACTTCTGTCTGCAGCTGGGTTCTGATAACAGCTGGACAGGGCGAGGACGGGTGTCTAGATAATGTACACATGATTATTTTCACTCTCCACGCTCCATCCTCTACTGTGACTGATATTAAAGTGTTCCATGTAATTATCAGTCTTCGTGTGACGTGTCAGTAAGGGACAGCAAGAGATAGTTTTTATTATCCTCAAGGTTTGATTATATGATGTCAAGTTATGTTGTTTATTTGTCATATGCAGGTTAACACAAGGTCAACAATGAGATGAAATGTTCAGTATGAGAAGAGACGTTTCGACTCACTACAAACAACGTTTATAAAAAGCAAAACAAGAAATAGTAAAAGCATGCAATAAGGGTACAAAATAAAGTACAAAAAGGTGAAAAATAAATATAATATTTACAAGGTCCAAAAGAAATATAGGAAACAATAACATGGCAGAAAATAACGGTGCAAGTAGAATGAATTAGTATAAATAAGTATTTCACAGGTAGTAATACTATCCTCAATGCACATGATACTGTATATATTGCACATGACACACAGGTAGTGAGTGACATTGATATTAATTGAATTATGATGGTAAGGTGACACACATGATACAGATACATGAAACTGACGTGATACACGTCACTAGAGAGTCCTTGAGCTCCGTCTTTACAACCAACTCCCTGACGTGTCCCTCTGCAGCTGCGCTGCTGAGAACAACTCGGCAGAGTGGGGGGGTTAAGGCTGGCGCTGGGGTGATTCTACAAAACTAACTTGTTCAATTCAGGAAGTAAGCACGCGGTTAATGCTTCAGACAGGTGAACACATTGGTAAGTTGTACTTGTAAACACATTGATCTTCTGTGACTGCTGGCTGTTCTCCAAAGCTTTGTGATGAATCTGATGAAGTCTACACCTGGTTGTTTTGGGACTCTCTTTTTTTTATGACCACCACATTTTTAATGTCAAAACATGGAAGCATTTTGTTTTGTTATTGAAATATTTGGCAAAATGGCAGAAAGTTAAATTTAAATATCTTTAGGAAAATGTAAGGAAACAAGCTTTCTAAGTACTGTCAGGGCTTGTTGGGTTATAAATTAAGTTAACCTCAGATTTCAAAGCACCAAAAAAAGGTTAGATTTGTTTAAAAATGTTTCAAATGACCTTTATCATCAAGTTAAAAAAACATGTAAATATCTGAAAAAGTTATAGAACTTTCTGGTATGAAATTAATTGAACGTTTACTTGAATAATAAAACTCTACTCATGTGTGTGTGCGTGCGTGCGTGCGTGCGTGTGTGTGTTTTCTGTGCCAGGAACATGAAGCTGACAGCTGCTGGGAGGCTCGCTGTGACTCACCACCAGCCACAACAATGCTTTCAGCATTAGTTGCTGCTTTTCTTCATGTATTATCACAGAAACTCATGGTTTTTGTCACAAAGAATCATTTTTTCCGTGTCAGTGCCTCATTGTTCTTATCAGTTGCACAAAACAGGGATGCATTTTATTCATTTTTGTGAAGAGGATTTAATTGTCTGCTCCAGGTGTGCTATTTCTCAGGCTTTTAAAAGCGCTACAATGTACAGTAGTTTTTGTTTAAAATGTCCTTTAGTATATAAAAAATATTTTTATGATTTTTTTTAGATGAAGCTGCATACTTCTGGATATTAAACATGAGCTCATTTAAAAGTCATGTTTGATTCTATAAGCACGCAAATGAAAACGTTGAAGATCTTTTCTATTATTGAGGGTTGCCTATTACTAATCTGATTGTTACAAAAAAATAAACACCCATCAATTCATCCAATATCGACGT